ACCTATAATAGCACCCCTCCCCGACCATGTACCAGTAGAGATAAGAAGGTTGACCTCTATACTTTCCCCAGGCCTACAAGAAACAGTCGGGGGGGGCGGGGGGCGGCATTAGTCTTCAGCACTTAGGAAAGATTGACAGCAAATGCGCACAGAGGATTGTAGGATGAAAATTCACCTTTGAGTCTTGAAATCACTGCCTCCTAATTAAAGTCCTTGTTATAGGTTGGGGCAGAAGATGGGCTAAGAAACTCTTCCCTATTCTGGTCTCCGTGGTGGTAACTGTAGCTAAAGCAGCAGAGAGTTTTACTTGGTTTCCTTTCTTGCTTCCTGTCCCTGCACAAAGCTACAGCCAGAGACAGAACATCCCTTTATAAGGTCTGGTCATTCTACTCCAGGAAGTCCTCTTGGCCTGAGGTCCAGCCACCTGTCTTCGCTCTCCTGATGTTTCCCCAGCTTCTACCTGGGCCTCAATCTCCCAGGCCACTCTCCTTGTCATACCCAATGGCCAGCCCAGTCTTTTCCCAGGCTTTGGGTTATTTATCTGTGACCCCGTGGTCCTCCTTTTTTTTTTTTTTTTTTTAATACAGAGGCTTGTTGTGTCACTCAGGCTGGAGTGCAATGGTGTAATCTTTGCTCACTGCAGCCTTGAACTTCTGGTTCAAGTGATCCTTCTGCCTCAGCCTCCTGAGTAGCTGGGACTATAGGTGTGTGCTACCACACCTGGCTAATTTTTTAAATAAACATTTTTTTTTTGGTAGATGCAGAGTCTTGCTATGTTGTCCAGGCTGGTCTCAAACTCCTGGGCTCAAGTGATACTCCCACCTCAGCCTCCCATAGTGCTGGGATAATAGGCATGAGCCACTGCACCTTACCTGTATTCTCTATTGAATTCATTCATTTATTCATTCAACAAATATCCACTGAGGACCTACGTGGAAGCACTGACCTAAGCGCTGGAATCAGCAGGGAACAAGACAAAGTCCTTACCTCTTGTCTTCATGAGAGAAAGATGATTAAGAAGCAAATGATAAATAAACAGGGTAATTGTACGTTTTGCTAAATGCAACGAAGGAAATAAACCAGGAGGTTAAGATAGAGAATAACTGGGAGCCATCAACTCTAAGATCACTCTGGGCTGGGCACAGCAGTTCACACCTGTAATGCCAGCACTTGGGAGGCTGAGCTGGGAGGATCACTTGAGTTCAGGAGTTCAAGACGAGCCTAAGCAACATAGTGAGGCCCCATCTCTACAAAGAATAAAAAAATTAGCTGAGTGTTATGGCACGCACCTACAGCCCCAGCTACTCAGGAGGCTGAGGTGGGGGACTGCTTGAGCCCAGGGATTCAAGGCTGCAGTGAGCTATGATCACACCACTGCACTGCACTCTAGCCTAGTGACAAAGTTAGGTCTTGTCTCTCAAAAAACAAAAAATAAAGTCATTCTGAAAAGCGGACAGCTGAGCTGCATGGAGTTCAAGGAATGACACCCCAGGCAGAGGAAACAGTGAGTGCAAAGGCCTGGTGCCACATTTTAAAGTCAGAAGGTAGCCAGGTGCAATGGCTCATGCCTGTAATCCCAGAACTTTGGCAGGCAAATCACTTGAGGTCAGGAGTTCAAGACCAGCCTGGTCAACATCATGAAACCCCATCTCTACTAAAAATACAAAAATGAACCGGGCATGGTAGTACACACTTGTGATTCCAGCTAGGCTGAGGCACGAGAATCACTTGAACCTGAGAGGCACAGATTGCAGTGAGCTGAGATCCCACCACTGCACTCCAGCCTGGGCAAGAGTGAGACTCTGTTTCCAAAAAAAAAAAAAAAAAAAAAAAAAAAGGCTGGGCATAGTGGCTCATGCCTGTAATCCCAGCACTTTGGGAGGCCAAGGTGGGTGGATCACCTGAGATCAGGAGTTCGAGACCAGCCTCACCAGCATAGTGAAACACCATCTCTACTAAAAATACAAAAAATGAGCTGGGCGTGGTGTTGGGTGCCTATAATCCCAGCTACTCAGGAGACTGAGGCAGGAATATCGCTTGAACCCAGGAGACAGAGGTTGGAGTGAGCCGAGATCGTGCCATTACACTTCAGCCTGAGCAACAAGAGCGAAACTCCATCTCAATAAATAAATAAATAAATAAAATAAAAATAAAAGGGCCGGGTGCGGTGGCTCACACCTGTAATCCCAACACTTTGGGAGGCTGAGGTAGGCAGATCACGAGGTCAGGAGTTCAAGACCAGCCTGACCTTGAGGTGAAACATGGTGAAACCCCGTCTCTACAAAAAATACAAAAATTTGCCAGGCGCGGTGGCGGGAACCTGTAATCCCAGCTACTCAGGAGGCTGAGGCAGGAGAATGGCTTGAACCCGGGAGGCGGAGGTTGCAGTGAGCGGAGATCGTGCCATTGCACTCCAGCCTGGGTGACACAGCGAGACTCCATCTCAATAAATAAATAAATGAAATTAAAAAAATAAATAAATAAATAGAAATAAAATAAAGTTCGAAGGTGACAATCTCTCCATCTCTCCTTTATATGTTAAGACTTCTCTGACTGCCGTGTGCTGGCGTCCAAACAGGAGGTATCTCGGAGTCCAATCCTCCTGCTTGCGCCAAGTCACGTGCCCCACTCCTAGGCTCAAGCCATCCTCTCTCCTCCGCCTCCCAAGTAGCTAGCACTACAGGCACATGCTATTGTGCCTGGCTAATATTTTAATTTTTTGTAGAGACAGGGTCTCCCCGTGCTGCCCAGGCTGGTCTTGAGCTCCTAGGCTCAAGTGATCCTCCTGTCTCGGCCTCCCAAAGTGCTGGGATTACATGTGTGAGCCACCCTGCCCAGCCAATAGTACGGATTTTGTGGGATCCTTGTGAGCATTCAATGAGAAGACGCTGGACCGTCCTGGAGCTACATCTGGAGGGGGAGCTAACAGTGGGGCTGTGCCCGTACCTCGCCCCTTCTTGGCTGGGAGCAACTGGAGGAACAGCACCCGCCACACCTGCTACTGTCACCCCAGACTCCGTGGCTCAGCTGTGAGCTGTGAGGGCCCCCTGGATTCTTGGATTTTCTCCACATTGTTACTGCTCAAATAGCTGGCCTTGCTGCTGGCAGAGAACAGACAGGGGATGAGGAGCTGATATTTGAGGAGGTAAATTTAAGCAGCAGGCTTACAATACGTTTTATGAGCTTGGCAGGCATAGCTGAAGTGGGTGTTATCAGTAAATACAGCAATGGCATTGATCACTCTGGGCAAATAGCCTCGAGGGGCTTACAAAGCCTTGGAATGTTCCCACGAGGTCTCCATTTGGAGCCTACATAGTACAGTATGCTGGATCTGGGCTCAAAAGATCTGCCACTCAGCTGGGCTGGTGGTGCACGGAAGATCGCCCGCCTCCAGCAGAAGCTATAATTCCAGAACTTTGGGAGACCGAGGCAGGAGGATCCCTTGAGCCCAGGAGTTTGAGACCAGACTGGGCAACATAGTGAGATCCAGTCTCTACAAAAAGATAAATTAGCTGGGCTTGGCAGCACATGCCTGTAATCCCAGCTATTGGAGAGGCTGAAGTGGGAGGATCACTTGAGCCTGGGAGGTCAACATTGCAGTGAGCTGTGATTGTGCCATTGTACTCCAGCCTGGGTGACAGAGAGAGACCCTGTCTCAAAAGAAAATCAAAAAGACCTTCCTCTCATTAGCTGTATGACCATGGCCACATTAATTAATGGAGCCCACTGTTTCCTTATCAACTGTTTCCCAAGCCCCTCAAGATTGTGTTGGCAGGAAGAAAATGCAACAATAGACCAGGTATGGGGGCTCATGCCTATAATCCCAGCACTTTGGGAAGCTGAGGCAGGCAGACCACTTGGGGTCAGGAGTTCGAGACCAGCCTGGCCAACATGGTGAAATTCAATCTCTACTAAAAATAGAGGTGGAGGGTGCAGTGAGCAGAGATCACGCCACTGCACTCCAACCTAGGCAAAAAGAGTGAGACTCCATCTCAAAACATAAAAAAGAAAACAGACAAATAAGAAGGGAAGGAAGGAAGGAAGAAAAAGAAAGACAGAAAGAGAGAAAAAGAAAGACAGAAAGAAAGAGAAAAAAAGAAAGAGAAAGAAAGAAAGAAAGAAAGAGAGAGAGAGAAAGAAAAAGAAAGAAAGAGACAATGGCCAGGAGAAGCTTTGTAAGTGATGAAGTGCTGAGCTTCTGTGAGGCGATGGTGATGATGATGTAGTGTGAGTTCTGGAATCAGAGGCTGGGTGATTTCTGGCAAGTTGCTTAACCTCTCTGAGTCTCTTATCTGTAAGATGAAGATAAAAGCAGTATCAGTCTTATTAAGAAGATTACATGTGGTATATTGAGTTGAATAGTGTTCCCCAAAATTTATATCCACCTAGAACCCTGGGAATATGACCTTATTTGGAACTAGGGCCTTTGCAGAGGTATGCAGAGGTCATACTGGATTAGCGTAGGCCTTAAGTCCAATATGACTGGTGTACTTCTAAGAAGAGGGAGATTTGGACACAGACGTAGATACACAGAGAAAACACCATGTGCAGATGGAAAGAGACTGCTGTGACATGCCCATAAGCCGAGGTGCACTGAAGATCGCCCACCTCCAGCAGAAGCTGGAAAAGGAAAAGAAGGATTCTCTCCTAGGCCTTCAGGAGTGTGGCCCCGCCAACACCTTGAGTTTGGATTTCTGGCCTCTAGAACTGTAAAATAATACAGTCCTTTTTCTTTTACTTTTCTTTCTTCTTTTTTATTTTTATTTTATTTTTTATTTTTTGAGACAGAGTCTCTCTCTGTCACGCAGGCTGGAGTGCAATGGCGCGATCTCAGTTTATTGCAACCTCTACCTCCCAGGTTCAAGCAATTCTCCTGCCTCAGCCTCCTGAGTAGCTGGGACTACAGGCTCCTACCCCGACACCCGGCTAATTTTTATATTTTTAGTAGAGACAGGGTTTCATCATGTTGGCCAGGCTTCTCTCAAACTCCTGACCTCAGGTGATCTGCCCGCCTCGGCCTCCCAAAGTGCTGGGATTACAGGCATAAGCCACTGCGCCTGGCCAAGAGAATACGTTTCTGTTGTTTTAAGTCATGCAGTTTGTGGCAGTTTGCTACGGCAGCCCCAGGAAATGAATGCATGTGATAATCCAGAAAAAGCGCTCCATGCCATGGTGCCCGGCATGCAGTGAGTGTGAAGGGTTAGCTGTGATTATTATTGTTCTCATTCTTAGTATTATGGTTCAAGGTCGGTTGTGACGGCCACAGATTTGGTCATAGGGAGACCCCTCCAACCTCCCTGGCCTCAAGTCTTGCTGGGGGTGGGGAGGGATGGGTTCCCTGGTCATGGTTTCCCATGAGCTCCTGCCCGGAATGGGTGGCTGTCCTTGTGGCAGTGGCTGACTTCCACGGATCCCTGAGGGGAGGGTTCTGTTGAGGTTGGTGGGGGTGCCCTCTACGAGTCCTGGTTGTGGGGAGGGGTGGAGGCTGCTTGGTGCGGCAGCTGCCCAGGGCTGGTTTCTGGAGCACAGCTCAGCAGATGCCTCAGGAACCTGTCTGGCAACAACATTCCTCCGCCACTCAGAGCAGCTGGCTGTCACTCGCAGCCCATTGTGGTTTTGTAAGGCGCAGACAAGGAACGTCAGCTGCTTCCCAGCAGGGCCCGTGAGTCACTTCGGCAGCTCTGAGCCCAGAGTTTCCCCTGTGGAGGCCAAAACCCTTGCCTCTCGGCCCAGCTTCCGTCCTGTGACCAAAGGTGGGTCTTCTGAGGGAGACCAGGAGGGGCAGGCCCCGGGATCCTGAAGACACACGGGAAGACAGATCCCACCGCACTTCCCTACTTCCTCAGCCGTCTGGGCTTGGGGCAAGGAGCGTCTTTTGGGTTGACACTTTTCAGGCCTCGGTTTTCTCACCTGTGAATGGGGATGTTGTGAGAACTTGATGAACTTTTAGAAGTGACAGCACCCTCCCCTTTCCTCTCCCCAGCATCTCAGGTAGCAGGTCAAATGGTTCAGAGCCGTTGGTAAGAGGATTTGACCACATCCCTTCCTGTGGGTACGTGGATGGCCACTCATTAACAATCAGGACCAAGGAGGCCTCAGGAGGAAAAGGGACAGGACTTCTGAAAACCCTCACCCCAGGTGAAGTTCAAGAATGTAAAAGCCTGTTTGTAGCAGGGATGACCCAGCCAAGTTCATCCTCGAATGGACACCGGGGTCTCCGGGCAGCACTCGCCACAGGGCACAGACTTAACGCCGGCGCCAAGCACTACATGTGTGCCTGAGGTGGGGGAGTGGCAGGAAAGGAGTCTGGGGGTGTTTGGGGGTATGTGTAGTGACTCAGAAGAACTTGGTGGTCCCATAGACCCAGGCAACTTGGCCGTGGGACAAGCCATGGCTGGGTGGAGTTGGTGGGGGGGGCAGACAGACATTTGCTCCCCTTCCCCCAGGCCCCGAGTGGAGTGTTTAGCAGGAATACCCACTTCACTTACGTTTTTGGAGCCTCCGCTTCCAACATCAGGTGCAGCAGCTGCGTAGGGGCACCCCCAGTCTCCCTGGTGAGGGGACTCGGGCATCAGTGTTGGTCTTGGAGGGCATCTTGGTAGAAGAGTCGATGTGGTCCCAGCTCAGCCAGGTTGGGGGTGATGGGCAGAGAGTCTTGTAAGCAGCCCCTGGGGCTTTGGAAAATGCTTGGAGCAGATCCTAGAAAACACATGGCGGTTGGGGGTGTGCGGTGTGGATCTTGAAGCACAGAGATGTACCTGTGACCTTGAGCTAACAGAAGTAACCCGGAGCTACTCTGGTTACAAATGAGCACAATTCTGCCTCCAGTCAGCCTCCCAGGACCCCCACAGCCTTGGGCACCATTTATCCAGGTGGCTTGTTTGCCACCGGGCTCTGTGCATTGCAGGACTGGTTTGGGCAGAGTCTGTTTCTGTGGATAGAGGCAGGGCTGCTGTGAGAAGCGAAAGGAGGCCACTTCAAGTCCCCAGCCACAACAGACTGCCAGCATCAGCCTCCAAAGATGGTATCACCCCAGCCAGGACAAGGCCAGGCCTGCGGGTTCTACAGCATGTGCAGAACTTTGTTTCTGAAACTCCTTCCTATCCAAGGCTGGTTCCAGTTCTAGCCATACTTGAATTTTGCTGAGTTTGAGTATCTGCTGTGTGCTAGGTTTTGTAGTGGATAAAAGAAGGGCAATAATAGGCCAGGCACGGTGGCTCACACCTGTAATCCTAGCATTTTGGGAGGCCGAGGTGGGTGGATTGCTTGAGCTCAGGAGTTCAAGACCAGCCTGGGCAACATGGTGAAACCCCATCTCTACTAAAATACAAACACTTGGGTATGTTGGTACATGCCTGTAGTCCCAGCTACTTGGGAGGCTGAGGCAGAAGAACTGTTTGAATCTGGAAGGCAGAGGTTGCAGTGAGCTGAGATCGCACCACTGCACTCCAGCCTGGGTGACAGAGCATCTGTCTCCAAAAAAAAAAAAAAAGAATGACAATAATAGTGGTAGTCCTAATGACAGTGACCGTTTCTTCATCTGTAACATGGAATAATTATAGTACCCGCCTCATAGGTGCTGTAAGGATTAAACGGGATAGTAGCATATAGTACCTGGCACATAGTACGTGCTCAATAAATATTACCTGTTAATGAGGAAACTGAGGCTCAGAGAGGTTAAGGGCCTTACCTAAGTCACACAGCATGGGAGTCTGAATCAGGGACCTCCAATCTAATGTAGGAGACTGACAGTCCCTCACAGTTGTGAATCCAGTGCTAGGTGAGCTAAGGGAAGGGGAAGTGGTCCTAGGGGACTTCTGACTAGGTATCAGGAGTCCCCACGGAGGAGGTGGTCCTTTCATTGAGCCTCACAGGTAAACAGCTGCAGGTGGAGATGTGGGGGTAGGGGGCGGAGCATATGGAAAACTCAAGGACCAGAAAGAGGGTGCCTTGGGGGGTCAGTGGGAGAAAAGGCCAGGCAGGGCAGCTGCAGGCAGACGGTGAAGAGCTCTGAATGCATGCTGAGGAATGGCCCACAGTGACAAGGACCCCACTGACTGTGCCCTTGAGAGGCAGTGTGGTGCAGTGGTTCAAGACCTGGACTCTGCAGCCAGCCTGCCCCAGTCAAATCTATAGCAGGGGGACAGTAGCGGGATGTACAGGAAGAATAAGCAGGGGTGACTGCATAGCTCCAACCCAGTGCCAGGGTAAATCCCTTCACCTCTGCCTACCTGTCTACCAGGGACTGTGTGGCTTTTATGTCCAGGAGAGCATGGGGTTCCGTCTTCAGGCTGTGACTCTGGAGATGCCTTGAGTCTCCTGAGTCCCCGGGTCTCTTCCCCCTGAAGGCATGTGCTGCAGAGGCTGTGAGGATGCCAAGCCCACCTGCGTGATTAGTGCCCGGGTGCAGGGAGTTGCTGGACACGTGCAGGATGCCAGGTGGGAGGTTTGCTTCAGAGCATAGGAAATCCTAATTATTGTCATGCAGGTACTCAGCAGGCATGCAGGTTTGACCCCAGGGCTGGGATTCTCAGAAGGTGGTTAGAGTCTCCATTTGTTCACTTAAGACAGGAGCATCCGGTGCCATTTGCCCCAGGAGGTGGGCGTGAAGAGCATAGGACAGGGAGGCGTGGAGGGGGTGGAGTGGCGTGGGGGCAGCGCGTGCTTTCTGGGTTATCTGGAGATTTAGACAGGGACACTGTGCCTCCAAGATCCTCTGAGTTCTCCTTTTCCTTTTTTTTTTTTAATTTATTTTTTTTTAATTTTGAGACAAGGCCTTGCTTTGTTGTCCAGGCTGGAGTGGAGTGGTGCAATCTTGGCTCACTGCAACCTCCTCCTCCCGGGTTCAAGCGATTCTCCTGCCTCAGCCTCCCGAGTAACTAGGATCACAGGCGTGCACAACTACGCCTGACTAATTTTTGTATTTTTAGTAGAGATGGGGTTTCACCATGTTGAGCAGGCTGGTCTCAAACTCCTGACCTCAGGTGCTCCACTAGCTTCAGTCTCCCAAAATGTTGGGACTACAGGTGTGAGCCACTGCCCCCGGCCAGGTTCTCCTTTTCCAACAGTAAGTTGCCCAAACAGTACAAGTGGAATGAGCTCCAGCCTCTTATTGGCCAGTTTAGCTAACCTCATGATGGATCCCTTGCACCTGTGCCCCTGGCTCAGCGTTAGGTCTAGGCTGGGGTTACCTCTTGGGCAGCAGCATCTGCCTGTGCCCCCGATTGCCAAGCAGACATGACCGGACCAGTTGGTGGGGGCCCCTCACAAGCAGCAGGTATTCCTTACTTACACTTTCTGGAGTGTTAAGATGTTTCTAGGCAACTGAGAGCGTGCTGGCCAGCCCGGTGTTTCAGTGTTTCCAGTCCAGGCTTCGTTTCCAGGCCCTCCCTGTCTGAGCAACACCTCACCTCACCCTGACTCACAGGGTCTCTCCCGCTCCACCTCCAGCAGTTTTCTTGCCACCCTCCCCGCATTCCTCCAGGTCCACACACACCTGCCCTTTGATTCATGGTTCTTTCCTCTCTGAGAAGAGCAAGCACCAGAGGCCAGGGCCCCATCACCTTCGGTCAGCAGCTGGGGCCACCGCCTGCCACTGGGTGTCTTCACACACACCTTTCCTGGGCTCTGGAGGGAGGCTGCTTAGAGGGGGATGATTGGAGAGGGCCTGGAGGCTGAGGGCCCTATTCCAGAAGGCAAATCTCAAAGGCAGCTCTGGCCTGACTTCTTTTTTTTTTTTTTTTTTTTTTTTTTTTTTTTAAGAGATGGGGTCTCGCTCCGTCACCTAGGCTGCACTGCAGTGGTGTGATCATAGCTCACTACAGCCTTGAACTCCTGGGCTCAAGTGATTCTCTGGCCTCAGTCTTTTTTTTTTTTTTTTTTGAGACAGAGTCTCACTGTTGCCCAGGCTAGAGCGCAGTGTCACAATCACAATCTCGGCTCACTGCAACCTATACCTCCCAGGTTCAACTGATTCTCCACAGCCTCCTAAGTAGCTGGGTTTACAAGCATGTGCCATCATGCCCGGCTAATTTTTGCATTTTTAGTAGAGACAGGGTTTCACCATGTTGGCCAGGCTGGTCTTGAACTCCTGACCTTAAATGATCCATCTGTCTCAGCCCCCCAAAGTGGTGGGATTACAGGCGTGAGTCACTCCGCTTGGCCCCACACCCCAGTCTTCTAAGTAGCTGGGACCATAGATATGCACCACCATGCCCAGCTAATTTTTAAATGTTTTTGTAGAAATGGGGTCTTGCCATGTTGCCCAGGCTGGTTTCAAACTCCTGACCTCAAGTGATCCTCCCTGCTGTGCCTCCCAAACTGCTGGGATTACAGGCGTGAGCCATCGCGCTTGGCCTGACCTCTGAGTAGGTCTCTCTCTCTCCTGTCCTCCTTCCCTCCTTCCTCCTTTCTCTCTTAAATGGCTTTATTGAGATATAATTATCATACTATAACATTCACCTGTTTAAAGTGTACAATCCAATTGTTTTTAGTGTATTCACAGAGTTGTACAACTGTCACCATAATCTAACTTTAGGACATTTTATCACGTCCCAAAGAAGCCCCATTCATAGTCACTCCTCATTCTCCCTCCCACCTCCCAGGTCCTGGCAACCACTCAGTTATTTTCTTTCCGTGGAGTTCCTTGGTGATGCAACTGTGAACAGTGAAGCCAGCCCCAGGTGGCTGAGGTGGGATAGTCCTGCCCTTGGATCAGGCTTTCAGCAAGCAGAATCCCAGAGTGGGCCATCCAGCTGGCCCACTCACTTCCTCGTGGCTGTAGCCCTGAGAAGGTCACCAGTCCTCATGTACCCAGGGAGGGGCATGAGACCCAGAACAGGGAGGAAATCTGACCAAGGTCACATAGTGCATAGAGGACACAGCTCCTGCTGGCAGTACCCACCATCTCTGGCACTCCAAGGTGCCTTCCCATAGCAGCCCCTACACACCCGTGGGCCTCCCGCTGGCCTCAGTCTCTCCATCTGTACAATGGGAATAATAACACCTACCACACATGTTGCGGGGATTGAATGAAAGCAAAGGCAATCCTGTGTGTAAAGAGTTTTTCCCTGTGCCTGGCATGAAGCTGTCCCTCAGCCCCTTGCTGAAGTTTAATTAGATTAAATTCCCAACTGGGCATTCAGGGCCCTGCACATTCTGGTTGTCTGGGGTGGATGGAAGTTTGTCCCTCCCCTCCTCTAGAAGGTGGCAGATGGAAGCCACTGGAACCACAGTATGCTTGCTGCTTCCTCTCGGTCACCTGGAAGCTGGTGGTGTCGGCGGGGCAGGCGGGAGGTTGACACTAGTGGCGATGACTCAGCACGGAGAGCTGTGGGAGTCTGGTTAATCAGCAGCGTCAAAACTTCCTGTTGCTGTTTGCAAACAAGGGCCACCCCGGGAGGAGGAGGACCAGAGCTAGGGGAGAGGCTGCGCGTCACAGAACCTCAGCAAAGCAATGCTACAGTCTAAAGGCAGCAGCAGCAGTGGTGCTAAGAGTTCAGCACGTGGTCAGGGGCTGTGGCTATGGCTTTCCAGGAGCATGTGGCTTCCCTTATGGCCCCTGTCCCCATCTCCCTACCCAGGAGAAAATTTTTTTTCCCCAGGAGTAGCTGATTGACTTATTGCAAAGGAGCCCCAATGAAGTGCCAGGGTGTGAGAGCAGGAGTCACGGTGGTGGCACCTGATGAGACTCATCTGTC